TTCGGTTAAGAAGTAACGTCACTAAAGAAAGGGAGCTTTCGCTCCTATAAAGGCCTTTGCGACCTATTCCCATCCTGTGAGACGGGCTCCACGGATGCGTTTTTTTCTTTTAACGTGTACGTGTAGGTGTCTGCCCACCTCGCACACCCAATTTCCCTTGTATCTTCATCTTCCTCAAAAAGAGAATATACTCTCTGGTTGTTTTGCGTCCCGGTAATCTCGAGATCTCCATTTACGTTTTCTCCCTAGGCCCAAGTGAGAATCGCTTGAAATGTTTCTTCGTTTTTGCACCGATCTCCACAATATGGGTCATGACAGGATTCTTTCTTCGGACAACTTATTCTCAACTCAAGAACTGCCGAGGTCCGGAGCATGGTGGGCATCAAGTATTTTTTATATCAAATCTAACTAATTTTCAATTACGATATTATGGGGTCATGGCCCCCTCTCTACTGTGAACATGTGGGATTCGGTTTAGTGATTTGACTTTGAATGGGGGGGTTGCTTCATTTTCTGCAATTCCCTCGTGGATGCCACTCCAACAACAACCCCCGCTTTGTCAAGCTTTGTTATTTTGTCAAACCCCAATTCGTCATATGCTAGTTTATAATTCAACGTCCAGCGATGACCCTTTTTATTTCAGAATCTTGCCGATCAGAAAGCAGGTGAATTCTAGATCCAAGGAGTACCCTATTAGCCTCATGGCGGGTCAGGTAAGACGCGACCTACTTCAGCCGGATGACCCGACGTACGAAGATATTCATACTTAACGGTGCTGAAAGAGTCGAACATGTGATTTAAGTGGGGGGCCATGGCGGTGGGTTGCTGTGTTAGTCTCCTCCGAGGAAAAGTCGAGGTGCGCGCAAGCTGGCCCGGACACCTCGGTTACCAAAAAAAAAAAAAAAGAGTCGAACATGGAGTCATGCACCTAATCCACACGCAAAGTCGGTTCATCACATGAAACTGACCTCGTGAGGTTATGTTTCGTTATTGCAAACATTAGAAACTTACAAACATGGTGCCATTCATGGATTTACTACTGTAATAACCCGATTCGACGAGGGCAGAGAGTGGTTGTCGAGGCTAAAAGGCATGAACAAGGAGCAGCTCTTGGCAAGCTTCGAGGATGATGAAGAAAGCAGGAATGAACCGAACTGCGCACCAAACAGAAAAAAAAAGCAATTCTCAAGTTTACATGTGAAAACTGAAATTAACTAATAAAGTCGCATTTTGACATAACGATAATACTTAGCTTTAGATATTCAAAGTTAAGCTTGCTTAGGTGGGAGCACTTCCAGGATAAGTAACCTCCTGGGAAGGTGTTCACCTGTACATCAAAAGGCAAAATCGTGAGGCTCAGGATAAGACGGACCAAAATGGACAATATACAAGTGAGTTAATCTAGGGATATCACAACTACTACGTCTATTAACGGGTTAGGAGTCACAGAGCGCTATCGAGCATATTTGGACAAACTATCAAACGGTTATCATTATGCAAGTCCATTATGAAAGGTAGGTAACAAGGGTCTACTGACCACTTGTTAAGCGTAACAAATGTCAAATAGGTTAAAATGCAACGTACAATATTAAAAAATTTTGCTTAATTGATTACTCAACAAATTCCAATCATCTAAAAAAACGCCTTCGAGGCCAAGACAATTATTATTAAAAAATCTTCTACCAATACTTGGCCAGGGTGTCCCCAACAGTTGACCTTTTTTGGTGTTTCCCTCCACCACAATACATGCAATTAAGGATAGTTTTATAATAAAAGAGATATGATTAAACTAGAGTCTCACTACACCAATTTGGGTTTGATGCTTAGACACTCAATGACACGAGAAGCCCACCACTCAGTTGCCATTCTTGTGTCTAACGAGCGACAGGCACTCCATCAACGTTGCGTAGGATATCACCACATGTCGTTGTAATTATTTATAAAAATGCCATAATATATGATAAAATTATTCTATATCGTTAAGAAGATGCGTCGTAATCATATGTAAAAAAGTCATTAAAAAGGATATGGATTGTAAGACAAATCGTTGTAGCTCCTGAATATCCAATTAAGTGAAGTACCTTCACATTCACACTTTAGTTACTATAATAGGTTTGCTTAATCTCGAATTCGAAATATTCAGAGACAGCGACCGCAAAATGAGATGATGTTCTTGTTTTACCGGAAAGAGGGAAAGACAAAAGATGGGTCCATCATCAGAACACAATTCATAAATGCATACTCGTCCAAAATTAAAGATTGTTTTCGGCAGATCCTCTGGCAAGGTCTGCTTCAAAAGTGACGGGGCCCTTGCGCCCAGGCAAGATCTTTGACTTCTTACAATAACAAGGATAATGCATCCTCCTGTGCAGATGAGAAATCCAAGAGGCTAGGGAACTATGCTCGACATGACGTCTTTGACAAGGGAATTGGTGGGAAAAAATGCATGCATTACCCAGTACTTGATGTGCCTCTCAAAGTTGAGCTAAAAGTCAATTGCAGAAATAGAAGGGTTGTCCCTAAGTTGTTACAATGTTCAGAGCTATGTTCGGATCTGTCCCGATGGGCATAAAGGAAGATGGCCCGGAACTTGGTATGGTTCAATGGTCCATTTAATCTCGTGTGAAATGTCCGTAGCTCGGATGTCTAAGCTATCAAACTCAGCCACGGTTTTATACCTATAAGGCCTTGAGATGTGGGTTTCACATGTTTTTCCAAGTTCCGGCGACTGTCCCGGATATCCGCAATGACTAAAATTAGATCACGTCATCGAGTCTCTCGGCATAAGCAGAGGCTCCTTCTCTCTCAGAATAATGAATTGATCGAACACTTCATTTGATTTGAAACACATCGGAGCATACTGACAGAAGCCCGAATGGACCGAGGTTAAGATACAGTGGCCATCAGAGATCATTGTGCAGGGGGGCGGTCCTCGACTGGTTGAACAGTTTCTGTCCCCTCTTGTTTAGTTTTTATCTCACTCGATCCTGGGTCTTCGCTTCCACCCCAACCCGACCGCAAGCCTGGTGGCGCCCAAATGCTTACTGCAGTAATACCGCCGTTCACAAGCGTGATGCAGGACCGCAAGCGGTCACCTGATAACTGGTGCCCCCCTTAACCTCAGGGGCTAACAATCTTTTTGAAGGCCAGTTTGTGCTGTTAGCAAAATTCTCAGCTTTATGCAGAATCTCTTGTAACATGAAAGATCAGGCGAAACCATCTCAAAGTTTATACTTTCAACAGTATTGCGCACGCACGCCCACACCACACCACACCACAAACTAGATTGGGACTCACTAACCCGCTTGCCAAAATATTGACAAAACTCAACACCACCAGAAACAAAGATGTCCAGGATTTACAAGGATTATGTCTAACATCTGCCCAAAGTCGCAGGATGCTAAAGTTCAGAAAAACCACCATCAATGTTACTGCAACAGTCCAATAAAGCAGGGCTATACAAGATTTACCAGAGTGTTCGACCGGCCACACTCACATCCACGAGAACATAAAATCCATAATAAATCATAACATCAACCTTTTCCCCCCCTCTAGACATAAGCTTGCTCGGAATTCAACCAAGCGGCATTTCATGTCGAAGTGCTTCAATTTGGAGCATGTGAGACACAATTTACTACAAAGCTCCGACTTAAAAAGTTGACCATGGCAGATTAAGTACTTCGCACCATGCAATGAGGGTGTTTCCCAGAGCATGACATTTACACAATTCCAATCACTATAGAACAATTTCCAATTACTATCTTCCTGTTGGTCTAATTCATATCCCATTCACCCAAATTTTCGCTAGTACACACTTCCGCAACCTAGAGGGAGGAAGAAGAAGAAACTCCACAACATAGCAGACAGAGGGGAAGGAAAACGATCATGCAGTGCTTGGAATTAGTGTTTTCTTGACAACAGATTCAAGATTGATACCAGATGATTTCAACAGCTACTTCTTAGATTATATTATGGCAACTTATCAGCCTCAATCTAAAAGGTTATCATAAAATTGGAACTTGAACAATCCAAGCCACACTGCAAAACAAAATAAAGAAACCGCCGCAATTATGCATTTGGCGCTTCATATGTCAACAATCTGATGACTAGTATAATTGAAGCCACCCCATTACACTTTGAAACCATCACTGCTGATTGTATATTAAATGTGATGAGTTACAAATATGAAACACAGGCAACAGTGTAAGCCCAAGCCACAGTTCACCAAGAAAATGGGTCTTGTCAAGACTTTGCAACATGGGCACCGAGAGGCAGAGGGGTAGAGAGGGAACCTGACTAAAACCACTGGTCATTGCTGAGATAATTAAACCATATTTGATTAAAATCTAGAACAAAAATCTGCATGACCAAGGTCCAAGTCTTGGTATGAACTCTTAACACAGGATTGAAAAAATATAACCAATAGGAAAATGCCACCACCTTTATACCTTCCCGTAAGCACCCCAATTTCCAAATTCTTCCAACAATCTCAGCTATTTAGGGTCTTTTTTCACCAATCCTAAAGCATGCACCTTTGTTTTCCGACCAATTTCTAAAATCGGAAAAAAAATTAAAATTCCTAAATGTCTATATATCAACTTGTGTGTGTGTGTGTTGAAAGGTTTTGAATGTTTGATGTTATAATTAAAGTAAAATTTTAAACGGTACAAGAAAAGAAAAAAGTAAAATGCGAAAGTCACTTCAAACAAACCCTTCTCTGCATGTACTAAAGAAATGACGTCAAACCCTGGTATGAGCTACTCTTGCAAAACAACATGGAAAAAAGAAGTGCTATCGTACTCCAATTCAGCAGGAAAAACCAATTTTCATTATGCATCAACACTGCCACACCAAAAACTAGAAACCCACAAATGTACTGCCACAATTACATCTGTGAGACAGAAAAAAAACATTAATTGTACAGATGCTAAAGTATACAGATTCCTGCATATGGTGTGAGAATCGGAATGGTCTGCGTTCAAAGAGTTGAACTCTTCATGTCATGAATGAGAAGCTTATTTCCATCAGTCACCATATCACCACATTGTGAATACAAGCTTACAAATTGTTGGAACAAATTTCCATTTGCAAAGAACAAGGCTCTAGCAAAAGGTTAGATCTCTGAACAACAACCTAAGACAGGTTTATATACGTCAAAGGTCTAGATAAAATAAAATTGCACTGCACCAATTTAGGGAATTGTGATTGCATGATCAAGCCGCAGAAAAGGAGCCAGCAACAAGGATTAAAACCTCTTCAGTACAGTATTCACGATAATCTAATAGATACCTCAGGTGCATGCTAATCATAGTTTGGTAACGTCGTTTGCAACTTCAGATGTAGCTTCCTCCTTCTGTCATAGACTTATTTGTAATACACCATGCCTTCATCAGGAAATCCCTCACTAAGAGATATGATGATGAGAAAAAAACCTGACAAGGCAAAAATTTGAGTTCAGAACTCAAACTGCAATCGAGGGATGAAAAGACACGCGTAAGGGCAAAAAAAAAAAAAATCAATCCAACAAGAACACCATTACCTGCCCCGCGAATTTGTTTTTTGGTATACAAGAATGACAAAAGCATCGTAGGAAAGAGCCTCACTCAAGTCTGAGATAAATTCAATCTCAGAATTTGTATCCAGTTTGGCGTCTGTCCTGCTATAATCCACATGCCCCCTCATGAGAGTATTTTGTGGAGCTAGTGGCACAACTATAGCCAATTACATGTCTCACAAACATCTAATTGTCTCTCTATCACATATGTGCCCATGTGTGCACACTCCGTGGGTTGCCCTAAGCAAGCGGACTTAGCTTTTTGAAAAAGTGTGAAGAACAGAAAGAAGAAACCAGCTTCCCAAGGAATTTTTTCTTCTATCTACGTCAGGTCCATGCATCTTAAGATTGTTAAGTTACATATAGGACAAGAAGCTCATACATATTTAGAATCCAACAGAAGTAGCTCGAGAAAACCACAGAAAACTAGTAAACTGCCATGCTAAAATGTCAGGGGAATAATGAACACTTAAATCTCATGATAAATCATCCTCTGTCCTAGCCTTCATCCGGTACTGCCGACCTGATCGAAGCAAAGGGATCTTTTTGTCAACTGCTTCTTCCACTTCATCTTCCTCCATTGCACACACTTCAGCATCTTGGGCATCCACAGCAGCAATAACAGGGGTTACTTTTCTACGTATTGCATCTTTACTTGCATATTCATTATCTTGCTTCAGCTCCGCACCATTGTTTAATATAGTGGCATCACTACCTCTTTTCCTCGGGATAAAAGTGACTGATTTAGGAAGATCAACAGGAGAATCATCTGCACGTGCATCTGTGGATTTTGACTTCAACATGTTCATAAAATCCATATAGGCTTGCCGATTAGATTGTTCATCCATGTCAGTCGAGGAGTCAAATGTATAATGTGTATATCTGGAAGGGTTTCGCACATAATCAGGAACAGCAGAAGAAAAATCTTGAGAAGGAGCAATTTCTCCATATTTGCTGATGGATGATTCTCTTCTAGAAGGATCCACTGTCACGGGTTCGGCTTCCGCAGGTGCTTCCTCAATCGATTCAGGATCAAACCGAACACGCTTTTGTGTCTTCGAATCACTTTGACCATCCTTCCTCTTCAAAATAGATTTCAGATTGACATCGCCTTCAGATGTGTGAACTTGGGAATTAGCCACTGAATGTGCATTTTCCTCAGAGACATGCAGAGAATCTATCTTTTCAGCTGCTTCTGCATCTTCCTTTAATCTAATTTTTGCAGCCATGTGGTCAGCACGTGGGTCCCTAGCAGCATCCCTGAATGAAGTCGGAAGCTCATTATCATGATCGATGGATATGCCATAGTTTGTTATATCCTTCATATACAAGCGGTCTCCGGCCTTCTCTCTTCCAACAGCTACTTTATCATACCGATCCTCCTCTTCCTGCACAGCAAAGAAGCGATTTTGAATTAGACATCAAAAAGGGATCGCCCAAGAATCGACAAAGTACAAAAACAAAATTACAAGGATACCCAACAGATGTGATCGCAAAAAAAAAAAAACTCGCAGGTTTTAGTCAGCCAATAATTGCAGAAATCACAGTAATGCTAGAATAATTCATAGTATGATATTTTAAAACCGTATTTAATGTCAAATGATAAGCATATATAAAATGTTTTTCAAAGGTTTCTTTAACAAAGTCATCGCAACTTCCACCTACAGATGAAATGCACTGTTTAACAAACTTCAAGAATAATTCAGTTCAGCCTCCTAAGTTTCCTTCAACAAGCGCAGGCAAACTTAACTCCACGAGGGGAGAAAAGAAACAGTTTATCCCACCTGAATTACCAGACCGTGTTCTACAAATTTCTTACTCAGCAAATAATTTCGGGCTCAAACCATTTCCTTTAACAGACGAGTGCACAATCACAACACATTATATATGTTGACAAAGCTCCACCTATATGAACAAAGAGGAAAAGCACCAGCCAACAGAAGATTTTATATTTGCTTACAGGTGCGGCATAGTCACAAGGAATGCCGATGGCGATCTTCCACTGATTCGAATCATCAAATAGAGTATCTTCACCACTATATTTTCAAATCAGAAAAATAGAACATTACAAAAAAACCTAGTCTTTGTCAGCTCCACTGCTCTCACTCGCTCCATCACAACACGAATTCAAACATATTCATGAACCAAAAGTCGACCAACAAAAAAACCCAGTCATAAGCATCTCGAATCATTTAGCTTACTCCAGCGACGCAACCGTTTCCTTATATACTGATGATTTTACCAATCACACCGGCAATTTAAGAGTTTTCCCGAATCAAAGCTCCATAACAATCCATCATCATACCTCATAGTCCAGAGTGCAATCCCGCCCGATGGAGGACTTAATCTCCCACTCCTCGTCGTTATAATCGTCCGGCTTATCAGATTGGCTCGCCGAACCCCGCGACCGCTGCTCCTCCCCCTCCTCCTCCTGATCCGCCAAGTCGTCGTCGTCGTCGTCGAGGTCCTCGAGATCCCTCTCGAGCTCGGCCCGGAAATCCCCCCGGCTCCTCCGCGGCCCGAGCCCCCCGCCGCCGCCGCCGCCTCTCGGGGCGAGGTCGAATTCGGGCTCGGGGCTGCCTTTGTCCCGGTTCCACTCCTTCCTCTCGACCTCGTCGTCGGTGAGGCTCCAGAGGGAGCTGAAGGACGAGGCCGGCGCCGCCGCGGAGGGGGCGGAGGAGGAGGAGTAGGAGGAGAGGGAGCCGAAGAGGCGGTCCACCCGGACCTTGAAGCTGTCTTCCATGGCGGGTCTGGTTGTGCGTAGGATTCTGCTGGTTTAGAGAGAGAGAGAGAGAGAGAGAGAAGGGGGGTGGGGTTGCTTTATAAATGGGAATTAGGGATTCGGGATTAGGAAACACACGCTTGAGTACAGTACACTCACACGTGTGCGATGCAGAAGCTTCTCCAACACGCCTATGTGCTGTGCAATTTCCTTCTCTCCGTAAGATAGAGGAAGGTGGCACGCATGGTTTCTGAATTTTGATCCATGAAATTTTAATTTATTTAATATGATTTTTGAACTTTAACTCAATGCGCAACGTGATCCTCAAACTTTCGATTTGTTTAATATGATCTATAGACTTTTGGTATATGTTTTAACTTAGTCATTGAACTATATGAAAATGTTTAATATTATCCATGAACTAGAATTAATGATTCCATCGTTTATAGTAAAAAAGAAGAGTCTTAAATTAATAAAAGGACAGCATTGAACATTTTCGTATAGTTTGGGGACTAAATCCAAGAACCACATTGAATAAATTAAAAGTTCAATGACGATATTACACGTTGGACTATAATTCAGGGACCACATTGAACAAGTTAAAAATTCATAAATCACATAGCACATCGGGCTAAAATTGTTTTATAACTGTTTTTTGCACGCAACTTTATACTTAATTGTCGTAACGTCATAAAACTGTTTTAGGACATGTTATGACATCTTTATACTTAATTACGTTGACAGGTTGTAAGATTGGTTATGCGGTACACTGAAGGCAATAACATGATCCGGACCTGCATAATCAATCATATCTCTGGATCTTTAGCTATAAAAGAAGAAAAAAACATGAGGTGAAAAGAACCCCATGTACAGAAATGGCAACAACTGCTTAACCCGTTAGGTGTAGGCGCTTTCCAAAGGTGGAATCTCCTCGTTCGACTCGAAATCGATCGAGCCATGGTCCTGATTTGATTATTATCACGTGTATGTCAAGTCAAGAGCCTATATGCTCGTGTATTTTTTATTTCCTACACCATTAAATATAAACAATTTCCGTGTGTTGCCTATTCACCCAAATTTTGGTTCTCATCGTTATCTTGTCCATGCGAATCTAAGATACTTGAGGTATATCATGGATTTCAACTTTACCTTAAAGCTTTCTCGTCATTTAAAAACACCTAAATTGTATAACTTTTTTTTTTTTTGTCGTGCCTCACTCTTTTAACTCCTAGGAGATCTCTCATTGAGCCCAAGACGTGCGCTTAGCCTTTTGCTTTCATTGATTAAGTTACAGGACACACTAATCCTTCACTTATGTAGAGCTTAGCTAGGTACACCGGCTCCATTTCTTTCGCGAAAAATAAAAGATTTGAAAAATATTTCTCTAAAAATGATCGCTCATATCGCTTATAAAAACAAATGAACAAAAGATATTTCCACCGTTCATGAAAATACATAGACATAAATTATTATTAATAATGAAAAAAATTCCCATTAACTAATTATTTTAAGTGATCAAATTTAAAAAAATATTTTTCAAATCATTCATTTTCCGTGAAACAAATGATGCATTGTAATATCTAATGAAACTTCAACAATTTCGTGAATATGAGAAAAACAGTAGGAAACCTTAGGATTGCTCGCACTCGGTATAGTCTAAGAAATCAGACCTCGTCATGCACCTAGACATAGACTCATTGTCTCGGGACCATCGCGGTGTCGCCGCTGCCAATCTCTCTATCCCCCGTTGCACCTCCAGACTCGTTGTGCACGGACAGAGAGGGGGAGATCGTCCATCTTCAATGCAAATTCTGTGTGTTGTCGACTTATTTTCCATGATGGGCCATCAGGCATTCCAATTAGAAAGAGGAACAGATAAAGAATGGTTAACCGGACTTCGGGTCACTTAAAATGAATGTAATTTAGGAGAGATACTCGATTGCACGATGGCTAGTAGTTACACCTTTTGACGATCAGACCAAGGGTCGACCTGTTCTCTCTCTTTGTGGTTTCCCAGTGAGCGGTGACGATCAGACCAAGGGTCGACCTGTTCTCTCTCTTTGTGGTTTCCCAGTGAACGGCACCGATCTCGTGCATTTCTCGTGGGTGGCATTGCTTCTCATCGCTAGGATAGAGAGACGGGCACCAAGTCTCGGCCGGCAGCCTCCGTTACCTCGTAGCATAACAACTGCAGGATGACGACGTTAGTGGTTGACAACTTACCCACAGAGCATGAGTTTTAGTTGAAATTCCCGTTAGGAATTCAAGTCGGAAAGACACTTGCAAGGATTCTGTCAACAAATGTCCCAGATCCATTCGCTAAACAATGGACTCGAGGAAATTTCATGATGTCTCAATGCACTGATAATTAACAAAACTAACCACAAATCACATGTCAACATCTTCACTCCATGAACAAATTTATAGGATCGCCTTTCTAGAGATAAACCATAGAAAGGTGCGTCACAATGTTTACTTTTGGCTTTGAAAATATTTTCATGTCAACGAAACTCATTGCATGATTTCCCTCGAACTAATACATACAATGAAAGCCGACAGAACAAGTGAACAGATCCGGGTGGACTTGAACCACCAACCTCTCGAGCCTCACCCAAGGAGATAGGCTCGAGCGCTCTGCCCATTTCGAGCTCTCGGATCTAGAAGCCACCACCCTAGCTGACCATGTTTCAAGTGATTCTTCCTTCGTCGAACAAGTAAATACGAGTCCAATAAATCCACATTCCGACAGGGTCTTTGCCGAACCTAGATTTCGGGAAAAAAATTCAGCTAATTTCGGTAAAAGGTGAATAAAGTCCCGAACAATTTGTGAGCTGTAGCAAAAGCCCAACCCAAAAGGTCCCGAGCGAAGAAGCGGTAAGACAGAATAATTATCAATCTGAATCAACACGTACTGACTAAAACTCAATTGGAAGATATTATTATCCTGAAATTACGTTTCTCCTCATATATGAAATGGAACTCATAGCTACAAATCAATAAAAGGTACGACACAAAGTCATTGCTAAAGCCACCGACAATTAGCCAAAAATATTACAAAAGTTATAATATAAATTTTAAAAAAATACCTGAATTTTTTATTAATTCATTTAAAAAACTCTATTTATTCTATTTGTATTTGAATTCTACTTCTATCTATTTATATATTCGTTCCTTTTTTTAGAATTCAAAAGAATACAAATTTGGAACTCTATTCCTCTCTAAAATACCAGTAATTAATTATAGAAACTCCAAAAAGAACAAATCTCGTGTTTCCAAAGCCCCGTGAATCCAAAGAATTACGAACCATAACTTCCCAATAACTTGTATATAACCCTTGAAACCTTTCAAAATATTTCCTCATTCGTTGAAACTTGAATGGTATCAAGCAAAACACAGGGACAAATAGTAAGAAAGCATGTGATTTTGAAAATTCAACAGATAAGTAGCAGGCAAAAATCCATTCAAAAAACGAGCATGACCCACATCCCATATTTTCATCATGAGTGGATAGGTTGTTCCAAGAAAGCTATGGATCGATCTACCAGGCGCATAACACAACTTCGTTCGCGCAAGCAGGACGTCAGATGCATAAAGCAAGGCCAGTACTTAATGACAGCAATTCAAATATTAAGACACCACTTATGATACCAAGGCGACACCACTTAATGACATAGTTCCCCACCATCTTACCTCGGTTCAAGGCACAAACCAAATCCGAAACAAGAATTTATGAACATGCAGCAAAATCAGTATTTACATAGCCACCAGAAAGAGCATGGTCGTGGGTGGAACGTCTGGACAGGACCAAAAGGCATCCAGCTCTGCTCAAATTGAAGAGTTCTTCCTCTGGCCTTCACCTTTGAAACCATTCAAAGATGACAGCCCTTGACTATTGATGTGAAGAAACATACTCATCTAGCGATCGAAAAATTCTACAAATTTGCCCCGCTGTTCTGCAGCTATGAGCCATCAAGGTGCTTGAATCACTACGATTGCAACAGAACAATTGAAGTACAAATCCTTCAAACTGATCCAACTGCCAACATCATTATTCTAACAGAACTGCACATAAGAATCAGATGATCTACCAAGAATAGATATAGATGACCTTACACATGCACGACAAATGTCTTCGTCATCTATTAGACACGGCAATGTTCAATCCAAGATTAGGTAACTGGAACATGGGCAAATATCCTGCAAAATTAGCCAAGGACATCATACAACTGCTCGCACACCACACCAAGCAAAGACTGTCACCTCTCAATCCGCAACAACAGGAAGGCTCAATCAGCTTTTTCTCAACCTTCTATCTTTACTCCGCTTTATCAGCAACAAGGAAGCGGCCAACCATGGTGAGAAGCTCCAGATCTCGTTGGCTCATCACAATCCAAAACTCATCTACGAGGCCCTCAGCATCATTGATGACCAAAAAGGCCAACGAACATATACAAGTAGAAGCACTACTTCTGATACAATGACCCTTACATAACATACCCTTCTTGATGAAGGGAAGAGTGTCAACTCAATTCAAATGAGATAAAAGCAATCAACCACAAATGAAAAATTGACATACCACTATACACTTATAGAGATTCCGGAAAAGAGATGCAGCACCAAGCAGTCGTGTTTTCTGACCGTGACAATTAATTGCGAGGTGACAATTAATTGAGAGGGTGTTCACAGAGGCAACGGATAAGTCCAGTATAACAAAGTGATTTTTGTTCCTGTGCGCGGCTTAGTTGTATTAACAGAACAACGGTTTCAAGTATTTGAATAGACAAAAGCCCACCATCGATTTGACTTACTGTAGAATTTTGGAAGGTGATTCTGAAGAGAATATCAAGCGAGGCTGCAGATTTCCAGAACATATACCGAGTTAATTGATTTTTCCCCCCGTCTCGTGACGCAAGAGATGAAGGACATTCTCCAATCTATATTGCTGTTAGACAATACTATATAACAACATAAACAATAACGATAAGGTTGCTTGAATTTATGATGCGTCACTTTGACTATAGGCAAAAGCATATAACGTGCTCCAATGTGATTGTGCAGTGACTGTCTATTGAAAAAAATTAAACTTGTGAGCTCGACCTTTAAACCCTTGTATCTCACCTTATCTGCATCAGATTCATTAGGCGGGCGACAAATTGCTTTCCGGCTTGACGAAGCTTTGGATGGATGTCTCCTTCAGATCCTAGTATTTGAATGGATGGAGCGAGTGATGCGAGCAAAAGTAAGCGGAGAGCGGGCAGAGACAAAGCACACGCAGAGAGGAGAGATCCCGGGCAATCCCCGTGCGATCCCCCCTCAAAAACCCCCCGAAAAACTTGACTTTTCATTGACTTTTCGTTGGCCTGCCATGCGAGCGCACCCATCATGGCAAAGGCCGGGATGACAAAAGATCGATCGGGAACTCGTCGGCCCCCCGAAGCAAAAGGAGGCGATCTCGTCCCAATCTATCTCATACATCCTCCTGATATAACGATCGATCGACAGTACCTCACTCACAAATCGAACATGTAGCGCAAGCAAATACATAGTTACAGCCGTTGGCCTCCCGTCGAGCAATCGACGCTCTGAAGCTCCTCCTCTCTTTTCCTCCTTGACCGCCAGATCGTCCTCGCCAAGCGCCGCCGCCGAGCTCCCGCCGAGCTCAAGAGTCTGGGGGCGATCGTAACGAATCGCTTGCAGGATCAGCTTCCGTCATCCCCGCACAGCTAAAAACCAGCAGGATCGGGACAAATACCCACCACCAAAAAAAAAAGACGAATTCGCAAAGCCACGGATCAGAGGAGCAGATCGGGATGAAAACACGAGCTGGAAACATTGAAATCTCGAGCTGAATTGAAACGACACTGGAATTCCGGAGGAATCAGCAGAACCTCACCTCGGGTAAGTTAGGGTTACGAACCTCGATCTCCGGGGCCTCGAGCCATCGGAACCGCCGTGGAAGCGACGCTCCCGAAGCGATCCGATGCGGATGCATCGATTTCAGAGGGAGAAACAGCCATGGAAGGAGTTGTCGGGGAGGGAGGCGATCTCTACCCTAGGGAGACGATCGAATCTGCGAACGATGCATCGGACATACGAGGCGGAGGACGACGGAGGATGAGGCTAGGGCGAGGTCGGGTTATAAAGAGATGGTGATGAGGCGGTGGACGGTCGGGATTTGAGATCGCGGGGCTGCGGACGGCGCATCCGAAGCCCACGTGGCGCGTTCCCGGCCGTCGCTTTATTTAATTTTGGTGAGGGCGGCGGATTTTGCGATCATGCGGTGCTGGATACAGGGTGGGACTTTTTTGGCATGCTTGGTCTTCACGCAGGAATCCTCGGGGCCACGGGGGTAACACCGAACGACACGACAAGCAAGGCTAGGTCGGTGGGACCCGTACCTTTATTTTAACACAAAAAAAAAAAGCATCGATAATTTAAAAAAGGTTATTCTTTTTAAGAATATTTGTATCCCCTCGAAAACAATGTATTAATAAAAATTATCAACAAAAAATGTCGGCCTAAACATTTTTCTTGGATTCAATTTTTTAGGCGGTACAGAGGATATTTTCAAAATAGTAGACAAATTATTTTCTTTACCAATTAATTTTTGTTGAAAAAATCGAACAAGCCCGTTCCGATGAGTTGTCACAAGCCAATCAAAGTGAAAAAAATCGAGCAAAGCCCGTTCTGATGAGTTGTCACAAGCCAATCAAAGTGAAATACTTTGACCAAATAAAAAATTAAAGAGAAAACAACAAGTAAAAAAATTGTAATTGATCAGTTACATCGCGTCATCACTAACAAATGTTATAAACCATGACACAAATCACGATTTTTTTCTTCCTAGTCGAATCCAGATCCAGGAGGACTTTAACCACCATCCTCTCGACCCTCGGCCGGGGCTCGAGCGCCCTTCCAATTACGAGCTTTCGGATCCACGAAGTATAGACAAACTCAACACTGGACCAGCTGCAAGCTCACGACTAATATGAGTTGATAACAAATAGTCATCAATCCTCATCTACAAAGTTCATATACCCCGCTTCACGATTTCTATCAATTAAAGAAATTGCTAGAAAAAACGTGTATTTTAAACTTTTGAAGTCACTGAAAAGTGAAGGCAAAAGCTGGGAAGAGAATACTAGTAAAAAGGCCTAAAAAAAAATTGGTAAAAGTAATTTGTCCTCCGGAAAGTAGAAATTTTTTTTTCCCAAACCTTTCCAATTGTCAGTACCATGCAAAATTATCAATCCGCAACATTATTCCCATGATAAAAAATGAACCACCAAAGGCACAAACTGGGAAAGATGCTCCCCAATTTAAAGTTATGCTAATGACAGATAGTTTATGCAAGAACAATCAACAAAAAAGCATGCGGTGCACGATATCAACGACATGGAATCCATTAAGGTAGTTGGCACATTCAGACTTTTTTTTTTTTTTGATAATCCGGACTCCCGCACCGACCGCACTACAAGGGTCCGATCGGCCAAGCACCAACCGGAGGAGAGCTAATATGGCCCCACAAACTAGCCTCAATGTAAGTCAAGAGTATGATAAGGCTACGCGGCAGAGAGGACTCGAACTTGGGACCTGGGACCCCAAGTCCTACACCCTTACCAACGCAGCCAACCTCTTGGAGGCGGCACATTCAGAGTTCACAATCTTGTTGAGCACATATTTCCACATCGGAGCCCTCCAACCAGGAGAAGCATCAACAAAGGAGAGATCATGAAACTTAGCGGGGATCTGGGTCTAGCCCAAGATGTTCTTCGGAAATCCACACTAGAATTTTCCTGTATTATGAAAACGTTCCAGCTACTTTACATGACAATATCTAACTCGTCAAAAAAACAAAATCGAGCCGATCTACATAACGTAGAGGTCAAGTTTTTGGCTGCTAAATAGTGGGAACAAAAAGGAAATACAAAGCTGAAAGGTAAATAGAATTTATAGAAATCTGATTGCAAGAAAAAAAAAAAGTAAGTAGAGATTTAATTTGCAACTCCAGAAAGCAAAGAGGTAAAGTCTTTCCAACTACAGCAGACCCAAACTGAATCATGTGTGGAAGTCATGAGGAGGAAAACACGCAAAAAAAAAAAAGTCAGGGTTTTCAAGATCACTCACGAGAACGTTGGAAGTGCTTCATACGGCACGGAGGTGCACAACAATTAGGCATAGCCTACAATCCAAGCAGCCCCAACATCTCAGAACCACATGAACCAAAACAAACAGACGGTGAATTTACCACTGTGGTCCGGGCTTACGCACTAGGGGTGAGGAGTTCCCGATCCGGTCCGGTCCGGTCCAACCCAAGAACCGGAAACCGGACCGGAAGGACTGGTTCCCAGTTTCTAGGACTGGGGACCGGACTAACTAGTCTTGGGACCGTGGACCAGACCGGTCCGGTCCGATTCCAATAGGGCAAATCACTTATTGGTAAAGGCAAGAGGGAATTGGGGAAATTAGATTAGGCTTTTTATTTTTTTTCAAAAATTTTAAAAAGTAAATAAATATATATATGAAAAAATTAGAAAAATATATATTTATCGGTCCGGTCTGGTCCAGTTCCCACCTTAGAACCGGGAACCGGACTGCCCAGAAACCGGTTCCACTTTTAGGAACCAGGAACGGGACCGATATTCCTGAGAACCAGACCAAACTAGTCAGTCCGGTCCGGTCCCAATTTGGGCGGTCTATCTTGCTCACCCTTATTACGCACCTTGTTCCATGGCTTGGCAGAGTGACAACCTGCGCAGGACAAGCCTGGATCATGATGACAGACACGGTACCACTAGCATCACTTCCCATGACTCAAAATGAAGCGACTTAATCATAGACATCTTTCTTCTTGCAAGTATAAAAAACGACTTGATCTAAAATTGAGGTATCGATACCCTCATGAACTGAATAATGCACATTTGTAAACATCAAATGGCCACAACCAGCGTAAAAAAAACCAGGTGCTTCATCACAATGCTGCCCAGTGCCCATGGCATCGCTGCTGGAACATCCCAAGTCAATCGTCATCACTCGAGCACCTTCCAAAATTACAGAGATCTCCCAACCAAGATAACAACAATGATTGGTACTTCATATCCATGACGAAACAATGATGAGGTCAAATGAGATCAGAATTAGTGTACATTTATTTAACAAAACAAAATTAAAAGACCATTCAGTTTAGGGGTGAGCAAGATGGACTGCCCAAATTGGGACCGGACTGACTGATTTGGTCCGGTTCTCGAGAATATCGGTCCGGTTCCCGGTTCTTAAAAGTGGAACTGGTTTTCGGGCAGTCCGGTTCCCGGTTCTAGGGTGGGAACCAGACCGGACCGGACCGAAAAATATATATATTTCTAATTTTTCATATATATATATTTATTTATTTACTCTTTAAAATTTTTGAAAAAAATAGAAAGCCTAATTTAATTTCCCCAATTCCCTGTTGCCTTTACCATTAAGTGATTGGTCCCATTGGAACCGGACCGGTAGTCTGGTTCAGTCCACGGTCCCAAAACTAACCGGTCCGATCCATGGTCCCAAGACTAGCCGGTCCGGCCCCCGGTCCAAAACTGGGAACCGGTCCTCTCGGTCCGATTCCCGATTCTTGGATTGGACCGGACCGGACCAGGAACCGCTCACCCCTAATTCAGTTTGTGAAATTGGTTTTGTATTTCGTCATTAGTGAAAATGAAAACGGACAGCATGCTTAGTAGCTTTTCTTATATTTTGAAGCATGTTTAATTGGTGGAAACAAATATTTTTTAGCCCGAATAACAATTTCCAGACCATGTTTCCATGTGATGTGTCCAGAATTAAGATGCATATTTTCATTTTATTATTGATTTTTGAGGTGATAATCAGTGAAATTCATTTTCAAATAGAGATGAATCAGAAAACAGACAGTCCTACACCAAATATGCCCTCAGATTCAGGAGATTCCTCAAAACTTCTGGAATTTGGCAATCAACTGCAGAGCCAACGTAGCTAAGATGCTCCATTAAGAAGCACAGACAGAAGGTCTACCCAGTACCCATTTTCAATTTCACTGCCCAGAAAGCAATCGGCAAGAGATCCAAGTTAAGGAATCGAAGATTATCATTCTGCCTCTTCATCAAATTACTAGACCATAATGCAACAATGCCTCCAACACAACAAGTACCTTAGTACATCAAAGCACATAAGAGTTAAAGCATCAACAGGGTGCTAAATGACTTGAAGTCTTCCACTAATCAGATTGACATTGCAAATACAAAAAATAGAACGAACAATCCAAACTATTCAAATAGTAAAAGGAATACATCTAACGTGAGATGAAAAGAAGAGAGAGAGAAGCGATACTGCACCATGTAATAGTAGCCTTTAACACAAATGAAAATATATCAAAAAGGGAAAAACATTATAAAAGAAGAGGGCATATAGTTTTCCGAGGATTCATCCATCTTAAATCGCAAATCATTAACAATTAACTCTGACTAGAACAGACCATGTCTCAAAAAAACAGTTCCGTTCAGACGACAAACTACATCGAATAGAAGACAAATTCTTAACTGAGTGAAGAGGATAACACGAGCAGAATGTTTACGAATTAGAAGCCTCCACTCAAGTGATTAATGTGCAAATCGCAACATAGAAAAGTACCATGGCCATTTCCAACATACAACTCGAAGTAAAACGTTATCGGTCATCAAAAACATAATTCTGACACCATAAAGTTGAATGTAGCAAGAGTCATCCAGCAGCAAGGGATAGTTCAGCATCCGGATGACACCCTGGTTTGCCACCAAAGTGTTGATTGCACTGACAGCCAGCCAGCAGCAGGGGGTACTTCTGCTTCCTCATCCTTCGTGTCATCAGCAGCAGGGAGAATCTAGCTGTCCATTTCGCCACTTCAAGGAGATTGCTAATGTCTAATACCTGGTAACCAATTTGCTTTCAAAGCTCTGGTGCATTGGCAACTTGCTAAGGATGTGGTTTTCTACGGAACATGCATAGTTAAAATTAAATATAAACGCAGCGAAAAGATATAACCATACATGTATCTCCAAAGGCATTGTTCGTGCGTTTCAATCAAAAATCGGAAAATCAAAGGGGGTTGAACGGATTACCTCTTGTAGCATGCCCAAAATGATTTCAGTTCGGATGTTCTTCAGCTCGAACCGCACAACCGTCGGACCTCTAATTCAGACACACCATCAATCGCACGACGAACGGAAGGAAGAACTGGCGGATAATCACCAATATAATTGTGCTAGCAATCTTGTGGCAAGAATTCTTCGCATTCTCGATATTTCAGTCACGGCGCCGAAAGAAAGAAAACGTATTTTACCTCTCACGCACACATGATAATTGCATGCGCTCATTTTCATCATCATGCAATTGTTGTTGATCGCGCTTTTTATATGGCGATCAGCAACAGATGCTGATCGCATGCACGATCAGCAACATCTGCTGATCGCATGCACGATCAGCAACGGTTGCTAATCGTGTGTTGCGACCTTTCCGGAGGTGAACCACCAGGGAAAGGCTAACGGACTTATTAAACGAGAACGAAGGTTTCTCTCACGAGGCAATCGTTCAAGTTTAGTGCGGACTCTCCCAAGCCCATCCGACCGCAATTTGGTACTCAATCCATCATGTAATTAATCTTACCTTTTGGAGTCGCCACTAATAGATTATAGGTCGATTAGACACCCAAGTAAAATATGGAAGTGCATTTTACTTTCACGAACCAGAGATTCAAGAGATTCGGGGACTCGGTACCATTTCTCTTTATTTCAAAAAAATGTTTTTACGGATCAAAAAATTACGTCCATATAATATTAAGGATTTGACCTTAGAGTCTAAAGGTCCAAACGCCCAAATATATCTTGGTTAATGCAAAGAAAATATATAACTAGATAAGCTAAGATTTTATTAACTAAATGACATGCAATTAAAATCATGTGTTGACAATCCACAAATTTAAACCGATCTCATCCTCACCTTGGTTTGAGCTAACTGCAAGAAATTGATAGTGAACCGCGAAAAGCAACCGAAGGTATGCAACAACAATGAACAGCAACAAACGGCAACAAACAATAGCGAACAGCAGAAGTGAACAGCGGCAATAGTGGCGCAACAGCAACTGCGAATGACGAACGGCAATGATGAACAGCAAACAAAGACGAGCAGTAGCAACGCGAGCAAACGACGACAAACAACGACGATGAGTAGCAGCAACAATAATGGCGAACGCGGCGCGGGATGCGGCGAAGTAAACGGCGACAAACAATAACGAACAACGGCGACACAGCAGCGAACAACGATGAACAACAGTAGACAACAGCAAGCAGCAGCGACGTAGTAGCAAACAGCAGCGATACAGCAGCGACACATGATCGAGAATAGCAAGAGCGACGCAACTAGGCTCACTAGAACAAAGGAATTTGCTGCAAATTATCGAGAAGAAGGATGTGGTGAAACCATAGCCACATAAAAGAACTCTCTTATTTCTCTCATATTTTTGAACTCTCTCTATTTCGAGCTCCACTCCCTCTTTTTTCTCTCCCCTTTGTTCTTGACTGAAGGTGCCCTTTTATAGTGGCTCTAGGCACCTCTCTTTCTTCGCAAATCTTTAAGTTTCCTTTTCTCTTCCCTTGATTCATGACATTCCACGATTTTGGCCAGCCCATTTGCGCATTCCAATTAGCTCCTTACTTTGATTTTATCCTTTTATTGATGTCTATTTCACCGATTTCGCCTCTCAATTGTCGCGCTTTCCTTTTGTCTTTAGCCGTGAACTTATCATTCATGGAAAAATATCCCAAGAATTCCTCCGTTTAGCTAGCTGGAGAGAAGATCTCTCTGATTGATTTAGAGTAAGAAAATCCCCTTCCCAAAATGGCATGAAGCTACTGCCTTCATGAAAGTCTTTGTTCATTGCCAGAGCATCCAAGGAAATTCGCATTCTTTCTCCAATCACGCTTTGCAAGATCCCTCGGCCAATCTCTATCCCCATCTCCAAATTCTGTTTCCTTGAAAGCTTCACTGATCGATCTTTAGAATCCAAGCATTCCTCAAAATCCCCAAATTCAGCCAGCTCAGTTTGATTGAAATCTTTGATCAAGGTTTCATTCAAATTTCCGCAATTTTGGAATGTAATACAAGCACCCATGGCTGACTTGATGCAAATATGCGTAATGCTAAACATGCTAATACTATAAGTGCCTAATGCAAATAAATACAACAAATTGAAACAACGCGGTATCAATTTTTTGAAGGGTTGACTTCAACCCCTAACTTTTATGTGATAAAAGACTACGTGGGAAACTCAAAAAATTTAGGTGTCATGATCGATTCCTTCTTTTTGACGATATCCTTTCGCCACCAGTCGTGCTTTGTAAGTTCCAACTTGACCCTCAGCATTCATCTTCCTCTCGAAGATCCATTTACAGCCAATTGGTACAATACCATCAGGCAGGTCAACTAAGGTCCAAACTTCATTGGAATATATTTAATCCATTTCGGATTTCATAGCTTCTAGCCATTTACTAGACTCGATGTCCGACATCGCCCTCCTCATAGGTGTTTGGATCACCAGGTTGCTCACCATCATTCACAATGAATAATGGTTCAATATGTTCAACCAAGTGTCTACAACGAGCAGGTGGACGGGACATTCTCGCACTCCTCCTAAGAGGTTGTGTATCAGAAGCTCCAACTAAATCAGAGATTCGTGTCTGAACTTTGTTGTTTGGTACTTCATTATTCTCTTCTTGTAAGACTATTTTCCGCCTAGCACCACCTTCCTGAACGAACTGATTCTCTAAAAAAGAAGCATGCTTGCTGACCGAAATTCTTAGGTCAGAGTGAAAATAGAAATAATATCCAAAATACTCCTTTGGATATCCAATGAAGCGACCTTGTTCAGACCTAGCCTCCAATTTTTCCATTTTCAGCTTCTTGACGAAAGCTTGACAACCTACCAATTTGTTGAGCGTCAGAGGCGCGGCAACAATATTGATTTGATGGAAGAAATTTTTGAATGTGAAACAATCGCGATTCACGCCTTTCTATTGCATGTCTCAATTACAAGAGAAATAGACTATATATAGGCCATAGTTTGATTCGAAATAAGAAACCTCTTTCTAGGAAACCTATTATAATTAGGAAACCTACTCCGATTAGGAAACCATTCAATTAGGAAACCTATTCAAAATAAGAAATCTAATTGACTTAGGAAACTTTCCTTTTTCGGGCTCAAACTATAATTAGCACCTAAAAACACGAAAAATCAAAATATGAAAATATGAATAGACTCACAAAAAAACAAGTATCAACAAATTTGGTTTAATTTCTAACACTCCCACCTAAACCAAATTCTATTCCATCAATCATTCCAAGCAGGCTCTTGAACTTTCGAAAAGCATCGATCTTGAGAGGTTTAGTAAAAATATCTACTACTTGATCTCCGGTCTTCACATGTAGTACTTCAACTTCATTCTCTTTAAACTGTTCTCGGATGAAGTTGAAGTACTACATGTGAAGACCGGAGATCAAGTAGCAGATATTTTTACTAAACCTCTCAATATCGATGCTTTTCGAAAGTTCAAGAGCCTGTTTGGAATGATTGATGGAAGAAAAATTGATTTAGGGGGGAATGTTAGAAATTAAACCAAATTTGTTAATACTTGTTTTTTTGTGAGTCTATTCGTATTTTGATTTTTTCTTGACAACCCCAAATCTTAATATGATTAAGACTAGATTTCATTTTCAAAGCATGATCATTAACCGATGATCTCTCATCCATCCTCATACGGTACAATGCCTTAGATATCTCATATCTAGAGATTCGATCATTCTCATCAAAATATTCTTTTAAGTGCAAGATGATTGACCTAGCATCTTCCATAGTTTCATACTTCTTCTGTAATTCATTATTCATTAAAGCAAGCATGTATGACCTAACTTTTAAGTCATCATCACGCTACTTATCATAAATGATGCGCTCCTCTTGGGTCCCAGCCTCAGAAAAGGAGTCTAGCATCTTTTGATCAAGCACATACCCGATTTTCTCCGAATTGAGCACAATTCTCAAATTCCTCACCTAGTCAATGAAATTGGGTCCAGTCAAACAATTACTGTCAAGTATAGAAGCGAATGAGTTTATGGTCACCATTTTCAAAATAATAATATATTTGTGTAGAAAATAAATTGTTAGCCGTTGTCTTTCAAAATAACCATTTCATTTTGGCCTTTAAATGAAATAGTGCCTCCCACTAAATTTTTCGAATCCCATACTCCTTAAAATGGGAAAACGGTAATCTTTATTGGTTAAAGATTACTAGTGGGGATTAAAGTCCCACCGGCCCATATAGCCCACCTCACCTGACAGTTATTGGTATTCAAAGAATTTAGTGAGTGAACCAACTTGCTCAACGTATCATATGCGAGTCCCAATCATAACTTCAGCCTTTAGACCATGAAAGTCTCACCTGACAATTACTGATATCATGATCATAAGTCTAGCCCATCATCTCATGCAAGTAATGAAATCACAAACGATCCCTTCACCTAACAGTTATTGGCAATCGTTCAGCTCCAACCCCACAACATCATATGCATAATGGAGTGATCCAATATTGTAAATGGCAATTGACCCCTATGTATTCATAGCCGGTCAATCAACCACTATAATGTTGGACCAAACCACGACGATGGAAGACTCCGAGTCTAAAACCCGTTTCGACTTAATATAATTAATAAGGAGGTTTTGGTCGTTATTAATGATCTCACTTTGCACATTAACCGGTTTAACATTCATAACAATTGAATATATAAATAGATATCAAATGCATAAAAATCTATCCTACGTGGTGATCATGGAATTATGGCTCAATGGGTCTCGAGCCAATGAGCCCCATTTAGCCATTTTAATGTTTTAATAATAGAGACATGCTCTTCACTTCTTCTTGGATCCTTGAACTCTTTACGGACCGGGCCCATAGAGCTCTCTGGCCTAATGGCTCATCCTTGTGTAATGTTTACATCAACAATTGATAATACTAAACTGTACTAAAAATACATTACATGAAAAACAAAAAGAAGGACGCAACCTCCATTTAATAATTACAACCCCAAAAATACTTGTAATCATCATACATTCATCCATACGTCAATCATATTGATTAGGGGTTTTTCCATGATTACCACCGTTCCTCGCAAGCCATAAATTTTAAATTTAAAGCTCTAGAAGGCACAAATAAAATTCTGCACTAAATCATATTCATGGCCGAGCAACGTAAGCCACATCAAAAAATCCAAGCCGGTGAAACAAATTTCACGTGCGCGATTCCAAGCGACGGTAGCGTTGTCGCCTTTAGATTCATAGTCGTGAATCATTTTGCAGAACACATGCAAAAGAAAAATTTAAAATTGATTTAGTTCCAATTTTTGCTCAGTTGATCAAATTTATCATATAAATTAATCAACTTCAATAAGCCACTTAAGAGCAAGCAATTCTCTCAATAAGCATAAGCTGGCCATTAGATTGCAAAAATATATATGAACCAAAATCAATTAAACGCACGACAATGCCTAAGGATTGGCTCTGATACCACTGTTGGTTTTCTACGAAACATGCATAGTTAAAATTAAATATAAACGCAGCGGAAAGATATAACCATACATGTATCTCCAAAAGCGTTGTTCGTGCGTTTCAATAAAAAATTGGACGATCATAGGGGGTTGAACGGATTACCTCTCGTAGAGTGCCCAAAACGATTTCGGTTCAGATGTTCTTCAGTTCGAGCTCCACAACCGTCGGATCTTTAGTTCAGACACACCACCAATCTCCCGACGAACGAAAGGAAGAACTTGCGGATAATCACCAATATAATTGTGCTAGCAATCTTGTGACGAGAATTCTCCGCATTCTCGATATTTCAGTCACGGCGCCCGAAGAGAGAAAACGTATTTTAACTCTCATGCACACATGATAATTGCATGCGCTCATTTCCATCATCATGCAATTGTTGCTGATTGCGCTTTTTATATGGCGATCAGCAATAGTTGCTCACGATTAGCAACGGTTGCTCATCGTGCATGCGCGTGAGAGTGCATGTGTGCACATTGCACATGATTAGCAACGGTTGCTGATCGTGTGTAGCATGCACACGATTGCTGACCATGTGCCATTTTGTCTTTTTAAATCAAAACGCACACGGACAGCAACTATTGCTAACCGTGTGCAACTTTTAAATTTATATATACATATATACAAACATAGAAGTGCACGATCATTATATGTGTATTTTGTGAGCATCGTATGCACACACGCCCATGACAAAAAAAATTAAATTAAATTAAATCTCATTTAATTTAATTTCAGTCCGACTCAATTCAATTGCAAACATATTTGCAATATCGTCTCTTTCGTACAACGTCATCCTAAATTGATTATGGTGTGTGACATCCCTAGGTTCGTCACTGAGCTGGTAGTAAAATTTGCACTAACACATTAGTACTCCATAGAGAATTGATTGTCCCGATCAACCTCTAGGTCTTACAAGCCATGATTAACATCTAGCAATATGTCATGGTTACCCAGACAGCGTGAATGCTTTAGGAACATCATGAACTTGTCAATTTTGGCTATAGTGTAATTCAATCCCTCTGTTTTACTATATCCCCATCGAACAAAGACCATGGAATATTTGTCAAGCCACCAATTCGATCATATGCACAAACCTAATTGACATGCATTTTATATGAGACATGAACAATTCATTCTCGGTTACAACCCCGGCCGAGGATTTTAATGTAATGTCAAGATTAGATTGCATAGGACATCATTATTGTACCTTGCGTATAACAAGAAGACAGATTTCATTTTGCGCACACGTGTAACTTCGTATGTAAACGAACTATGGCCATCAAGTACAGAGACGGATCAACAAACTGGCAATATGCGCACCTGTGAACCATAGCCATCCAACATACAAGTCAACACTATGCCTCAGGTCTAAGGATTATTTACATAAGACCAGAGCATGAATGATTAGATATTGACCACACTAAAAGCTTTCATGTTGCTAATTGTTTTATGCATGTCACGTTCAGTGAACTTATCTGATACAAGCACCTATGTTCTGACTTGGACATCACAATACCTAATGACTTGTGTCTCGTCGTTCCCTTAAGTATCCAATACTTAATGGTGAAGCTAAGAACACACCGGTCTCAACAGGATCATTAATATCCACTCAATGATCCATCGACCGAGAACAATTTAAAGATTCAGTCTAAGTATGAACCTGTCACGCATATTCTTAACATCTCAAGAATAGGTCCAGTCACAACTGATCCTATAGAATCATTTATACATTTAAATAATTGGACAAATGAATGAATACATTATTGCCATTAAATAAATAATGAAATTGATAGTACAACTTAAATCCCTAACATGTAACTATTACATGGTAACTTTAGGACATACATCTAACAAAGGAAACCGAGACAATACAAACACTGTGGTCTTCATCACCCATAGAGAACCAGTACATATGCTGCAAATGATTACATGACTGCTAAACAAACATACTCTTCATGCAGTGGCCCAACTACAGAACTTAACTAGAAATAACTCAAAACACGAAATGAAAATTGGTGTTGCTCGATCAAAGGTACGAGATCACCAACCAATTAACGATGTACTTACTGACCATAATGAAAGTAGAAAAAATAGTTTCAAAAATGTTGGGAGATATTATAATTTGATGTATCCTCAGAGGATATGCAAGGTCGACACAGAAACCGAAACACCGAGGTGAAAAAATCAGCTAGCACTTACCAGTAATTAATAATTATATTGTCAATCCTATTTGCTTGCTTTCATGTTATCAACATAATATTGAATTCAATAGAGGTACATTATAAATCAAAACAAGACTAATTCATGATACTATTGATGTAGCTATGATTTAAGCGAGATAACAAAGAGCGATAGTTAGAACTAATGAAAGACCGGCGGCATGCGGGAAATATTAGTTGCTCTTTTTTCTGCTTGTAAAATCAGAATAATCATGCCAATTCTGGTATGATGAGCAAGAGCCCTACCGAGCAAACTTGACTATTTGTTTAATTCTAGCAAAAGTAAAATAGGCAGTTGACCTAACTAGAGGTAAAGGGGCGGTTCATGAACCTTACTAAAACAAAATATCGGTGAACATGCTACTTCCGCATTATAGTGAGCACATACGTTTGACCTTAGGTTAATCAGAACATGGAGGTAGCTCTTATAGTTGTCTGGCCTATTTCCAATGGTGCTGACTTTTCTTGAAAACACTAGAGTATTTCTCATAGTGTCTCCAAAGACAGTAAACCGTCACTAAAATTTACACTAATATGGTTCCCAAATCCCAATTATTTCATGGCATTAGTTGTATGAATTATGCCAGTTCTGAAACTTGCATATGCTAATTCTCAACTTGAATTGAATAATTCAAATTTGAACTCAAAGCCTCTAAGATGGCCTTAGTACCTCAAATTACAGCATCAGCTTCCGCGGTGTGGAATTGAGGATAAACGCTTGCCCTGCTGATGAAGTTTCAGAGTCTTCGGATGCAATTTGCGGCCATGGCAGAAGGATTGTAAAGAAGGGCAAATCGGGCTCAGCGAATGCACATGAAAAAGCGAAAAAGCACAGGAGAGAGGAGAACCCGGGCAACTCCCGTGCGATCTCCCCTCCAAACCCCCCCCAAAAAAGTGAACTTTTATCGACTTTCTTGACCCGCCGTGCGAGCGCACCCGTCATGGCAAAGGCCTGGATGACAAAAGAACGATTAGAGACTGAGTTCCCCCCATGAAAAATCAGGGGAGCTCTCGTCCCCGACATCTCTGTCAGACATCCTTCGTCTCGACAAACATCGCCACAACCTCACCGACGATTCCAACGTGTCACAACACAGACAAGCAGTTCCCTTCAGCCTCTGATGAAACCTATCGATCCTCCACGAATCCCACTGGGCTGACCTCGCCACACGCTCCTTTCCATTGGACACGGCCTCGAGAAACTCCAGCCGCAGTAGCTACGACGACGTCAAGAACTAACCGTCACGAAGCAACCCAGCAGGAGGATTGTTCCGGCGTCGCAGCGGCCATCGAGAAGCGAGATCGCCTGATCGAGCTGAACTCGTCCTCACACACGTATTCCACGACCAACGAACCTGAACCAGACAGCGACCGCACCAACCTGAGCCTCAAATTCAAACCGAGAACACGGACGCTAGTGTAAGGCGGAGGAAACGACGCGATCCGACTAGACAGCTCGAAGAGGAGAAGAAGGTGAAAAGGCTCACCTCAGCCAGGCTGATGATCGACCTCGATCTTCACAACCAGCCGCTTCGAGCTTGCCGACAACCGCCACGGAACCGAAGATCGCCGAAGCGATCCGCGCGATTCCGATGGCGAAATCGAATCGGAGGAGCGTCGGAGACGGCGATGGCGCGGGCGACGAATACCGGTTCTCGTGTAGTGAGAGCTTTGCTCGGCCGATGAACGGGCGGGATCAAAGCTGGAGATACCATCGACGGTGCGAAGGGAGGCCACGTGGAGGAACGGTTGCCGTTGCTTCGCTCGCGATCGTGCGGTTGGAGACTGAGAGTGACCCGGTGTGCATTTTTTCGCTCCCGACGTCACGCGCGGCACGTGCGACGTGGGGATTCCATGTCCAGTTGTCCCGCGCGCCGCGACCGGTCTAAACGGGCCTGCACGTGGATGGACCGGGTTCACGAACTAATAGGCCGGGCCCGGTTTCGGCCTGGCCCCGACCAACCAGGCTAAAAACTAACTTTTGCCCTTTCGGGATAAACAAAAACGGCCTTCGATAGCAAGTTAGGTCCGACCTTTGATCGAAACCCGATCCGACTCGATCGATTGATTAGGACTACTCCGTCGACATGTTCTCTTTCGCGTTCCTACGTGCCCTCTCAAAGGGTCAAAGTAGTCGCACTTGTTATCATCGTCCCGACAACTTTCCAACTCCGACCCTGACATTGCGTCGGTAAGACTCGCCCGTTATTCCGGAGACCAAGTGGCCCGCTAACGTAACTCTTCTGGCGAAGCATACACACATACAATTGCTGCTCACGTTGTTGTGAAGTTTTACATAAGTTAAACGGATGTTATTAATAGTTTCTCGCATCACTGTAGAACGGTTTCATCACAACGATGAGCATCGAAAGGTATCTATGTTACTTCCTCGAAGGACGGGAAGATTTTACATGAATACGTGGAAAAGGGTCCATAGGCTAATCTAGATGAACAACAGATGATTATCATCGTATCATGGCATCGAAGAAAAGTGTAAAGTTCATGAGTTTGTTTTCTTAATTTGAGAAATTCAAGAGAATTACCAAAAAATTTCTGAACATTTTGCGCCTGTGCCAATTCAATCCTAAACCTTTTAATTGTGTCAATTGAGTCATGAAACTTTTCACGTTTTATCAATTAAGTTAATTTGGTTAATTTTGGCCGGAAATCGTTGACATGGATGTTTGATGTTCTTCGTGGCAAGGCCAGCGCTGACGTAGACATTTTTAATAATATTTTAATATTTTTCTGAATTTTTAAAAATATTTTTTGAATATATATTATTTTTTCTTTTCTTTACTTTTTATTTTACTTAGGGTTGGCGTCCTTGCGAGGGCCATGACATCCTCGTCGGTACCGGACAAGGGCATCACAGCCCTCACTTTGGTCAAATGGACTCAATTGGTAAAACGTAAAAAGGTTTAGGACTCAATTGGCATAAGTGCATTAAATTTATGACCGAATTGGCACGAACAGTTTACTCAACAATAATTTGATCGAATATTCTTTCACAAAATGATATATATCTCTCTTCCATGCACTGTCTTCACAATCATCTTAAGTCGAAACAATATTCGCAATCGTGCCCTTTTGCTTTAGAGCGTGTTTGGTAATGTTTCTATTTTTCTGTTTTTCTGTTCTTTTGTTCCCTGGAATAGAAAAAAAACAAAAATCCGTTAATATACGTCAGTTAATTTTTCTATTCCCGGAAATAGAAAAGTGGCCAGGGAATAGATTTGGAATAAAAACAAGAAGTAAAAAAAATGACTTTTCTGTTCCCAGGAATAAAAAGAGAAATAATGTCATTTTAAAAAAACAATTTCATGAACCATTAAATCTCAAAACTCGAAACCCTAAAACGCAAAACCCCAACCCCTAAACCTAAACCCCAAACCCAAAAACCAAAACCTTAAATCCTAAAACTATAAACCCCAAACCCTAAAACCCGAAATCCTAAAACCCGAAACCCTAAAACCTAATACCCGAAACCCCAAAAACCCAAACCCCAGAACCTCAAAACCCTAAATCCTTCAAACCCTAAAACCCTACCTCAAAACCAAAAACCGAAACCCTAAATCCTAAAACTCTAAACCCCGAAACCCCAAACCCGAAATCCTAAAACCTAATACCCGAAACTCCAAAATCCAAACCCTAAAACCCAAACCCCAAACCTCAAAACCCTAAACCCTAAATCCCAAACCAAATCCAAATCCTAAAACCTTAATCCCTAAACCCCCAAACCCTAAAACCCTAAACACAAAACCCTAAAAACCTAAACTATAAATGCTAAACCCCAAATCGCAATTTCCTCAACTACTATCAGGTATTTGCTTTGTCTATAGGGAGTAATCTTCTTTATGATTGTACTAAGGTCATCCAATTATATATCATAATATATTTTGATTCTATTTATAGTCTAATTTTATCCAAACATGAATTGTTAAGTCTTCACTGACATTTTTATAATATTAAATAAAAAAATTAGGAATAGAAATTTTTAGAATTATACAAAACGCATTTCTGTTCTTTTTCTATTTCGGGAGTAGAAAATTTGTGCAATTACCAAACGCATTATTTTGCTCAGAAACTCGCCTAGAAAATAAAAATAGAAAAAAGTATTTCTGAACAGAAATTATTTCCGGGAACAGAAATGTTACCGTACTCATCCTTAGCCGGTTAATCTCTTTGTGGAAGAGCTTCTCTCTACCCTGATGGATAATTGAAGTAGGATGAACTTTTTTAGCTTCTCTCTACCCCTTCGGTTCAGCGGGTTAATCTTCAATCAATGCACATATACTCTAGTTTTTGCCCCACCACCACCGGTCCCTACGAAACCCATTCAACCTAATGTCCTGTTTTAGGTAAAAGTTCGGTGTCATTTTGTTGGGTTTAGAGAACCCAAAATCGGGTCACGTGAGAACCCTGTTGGAGGTTGAACACAAATCTCCAACAAATGCCATCCTAAAGTCCAACATGGGGGACAGACCACAGTGCATCCTGGCGTCTTTCGCTTATAAAAAATTGTGGGGCTAGGACAAATTTGAGATTAAACTACGCCACCTAAGATTCTCCGGGAAGATAGGTCGCCGGAAGTCCATGGTTTAGGGATTTCGAGCACTTGTGTCCCTCATATGATAATCGGGCAAATGGGTGGGTCGGATAGGATAAAAAAAGGTCTGGCCCAAATTAACCAATTCCCATGAAATGCGAATCTAGCGATTCATACTCAACTCATATTGCTAAAACACTTCCAAAATTAACCCAATTTAGGAAACTCATACTCAAACTGAGATGAAAGGGCGGAGCGAGCGAGTACGAGATCCCAGAGAGAGTGAAAAAGAGTCATAAATGTGGGTTGGTCTAAATATGATGTGAACCCATTTAACACCCGTATTAGATTAAATTGGGCTTTGCCATTCTAAACACATTTTTATCCATTTACTGAATATAATTAACCTATATAACAACTCAGCTCATCAAATATAGGTTAAAAAATGAGGGTATGACCCATTTTGACAGGTCTACCTAGTACTAAACAACATTCGTGTAAAAATTTGACAAAGACGTGTCCATTTTTAAAATCACTAGAAACATTCACGTGCAATATAATCACTTGAAATTGGTAAAAATCTTTAGCCAAAGCAAAAATGCAAGAATCCACATAATCTTATCTCGTAGATGGTAGATATATGGACTCGACATGTATAAACTTAGATTCTCTTTGTTTCGCGAAAAATAAATAAACTAAAAAGTATCTTCCTAAAACTAACCATTTCATATCGTTTGAATTAATTAATCGCTTATTTTTCTCGAAATAAGCACACCATGAGCAACACGCACTTACATTATAGTCATTAGCAATAGTATAATTATTTATTTCATTCTACATATCTCTCGGGATTATGCATATATATTATTTGATCGTGCATATTCTCAATTGATTATATCCGAAATTACGTTTATCTTATTACCTTCAATAGTCACGCAATAAACCCTATAATTAGAATCGTGTACTCTTTATTCGATAAGCAGTAAAAAGATTAAAAAAATAATCTATAATTCCAAATATCGAAGTACAAAAACACCAGCACAAGAAAAACCCTCGTACTCGCCCACAAACTACATTAAATTAAACCGAAGTAAATCAGCATTAAGGAGCAAGTAACGGCATCGTTCAAGACGAAGCACCGGTCTGGTGTCGCGCCTTCTCCTTCTCCTTCACCTCGCTTCCCTGCGTCTTGTCGTAAGCTTCGTTCCGGCAGCAACATCAACGCAAACATGAACGCGAGTCAGCATCGAAACTTCTCCACGAAACGCACAGTGAGAAACTAATCATCAAACGCATCGACTGCTACCGCAACATTACCAGGATGGTTCGCATGGATGTCTCTGTCGACCTGGATGTTGTTCGCGGACTTGCTGCCCTCGTAGATCCCGCCGAAGCCTTCCTCGTCGGACCTCGTCGCGTAGCCCTCCCCGAACGAGTGCGCCATCGCATCCGGCCTTCAAACACACATCCCACAACCCAACCCGTTTAAATTCGCGGGATCGATCGGCGCTTCGAAAAAGCTTAACGAGAACGATGAAGAGAGACACTGACTAACCCGGTTTTGGCCTTGGCGCCGTCGCGCTCCGCCTGGCCCTTCTTGTCCATGTCGCGGGCGGCCTCCGTGGCGAGCGGCCGAAGAGCCGGCGCGGCCCGGCGGAGGAGGGCGGAGGAGGGCGGGCGGGTCCTGTTCCCGGCGAGCGCCGATCTGACAGCGGAGTGCATCATCTTCTTCGAGAGCGCAGAGTACCATCTCGAGCGAACTGAGCCTCGATTTATAGACGGAAAACGGCCTCGGATCCGATTCCGGCGAGCTGATTTCTCGGAACTGGGTCAGTCGGATCCGATTCCGGCGAGCTGGTTTCCCTCGCGGGGAGACACGTCGCGAGCGTCGGGGGGGGGGGGGGGCCACGTGGCGTGCGGGTGGGAGGGTGGATGCCTCGAAAGGATGACGTCACCCTCGCCGACGAAAGTGTACGGATAATCTTATGATTCAAACTTTATCTTCCGAACGGTAAGTATGAATTATTTGACAGTCCAATGTATATTTTAAATTTCAAGAAAGCTGATTGAATAGCCCAAGCGTTTCGATTTGATGCGTCAGATTTCATGTCCAAATCAAGCAATATTTTTCACTGAAATAAAAAAAACTTGAAAATCACGCTTATTCACTTTGACATCAGTTGAGTAAAAGAGTTCGGATATATTTTTTTTGTAAGATGAGAAAAGACTCTAGGTTAATTTACGGCTTAAATATGTATATCTAGGTCTGACTTATTTATCACTAATTTTTATGTGGCAGTTGTAATGTTATCATGTTGTAACCGCGATCGCGTTACGATTTTTTAGAATGGTACAAGGCACTTTGTCACCGGAGAATTAGGGATCCCTGGAGCCTTCACAATGACAAGACCAATTTGAGTGAGTTTGTGAATTTTGATAAAAAAGAAAAGAAAGGCCAAACACCTCTCGAAAAATCAAAATTGTCGTCCAAGCAATTCTGGCCGAATTACTTTTAAGGGCATCAATTTTATCTTGGGTCCCAAATCTAACCTAAGAATTCCTTTTGTCTCGCAAAAAAGCACCCGTTATGGCTCGTCTTTCAATTCCAGATCTAAAATTTTTCTGAAGTCTCCTAAAAAAAATATCAACTTTCAATAGATACCCAAATTGAAAATCATATTGGGCCATGTAATCAAGAGAATTTAGGGATCCCAATAGCCTTTTCAATGACAAATTTCCCAACAGCACTTAAAGATGGGCCACTCCATAGAAACCAAATTGGAGTAGAGTTGTCTGAATTTCGATCCAAAAAGGGCAAACACCTCCCCCCAATAAATCAAAACCGCACCGACTCACGTGTCGTGGATTTTTCCCCTTTTTCCTTCGAGAAAAAAATAAAGAGAAAGGGACACAATTTAGGAAATCCACCAAAAATAGTGGGCTAAAGCTAGTGGACTCCAACCCCTCTCTGCTCAAGTTGACTGCCCATCAAAATTGACCTCACCTGATAACAACCGGACTTCCTACCCTCCCTCAGTCCGTTTGAGATTTATTGTTCGATTTAGTATTTTTAGAAGGATTAATGCCACAAAAAACTCTAAGTTGATACACCTGCAATAAATTTACTCAAAATTAATTTTTTAACTATTCAAAATCCAAAACCGATACACTTGTGACAAATTTACCCTCAGTTAGTTTTCATTGAGTTTTAGCGTCTAATTGATGAGCTTGATGACACGTGGCAGTTGATGGGTGTACCAGTTCAGGGTTTTACCCCTCAATTTGTCGCAGATGTACCAATTTGTGATTTTTTGTGGTATTAATCCAATTTAACAGATGGTAAATTTGTCACAATGGTACCAGTTTGGGGTTTTTGATTAATCAAAAATTTAATTTTGGGTAAATTTGTCACAGGTGTACTAATTTGAGGTTTTTCGTGATATCAACCCTTTTCAAAAATTATCTGAATGAATGAAAGCCATATTTCTGAACCAAAAAAAAAAAAAAAGTTAGCCCTCCGAGTCGGAAGTGTTTGGTCACTCTTTGAGGTCCACGTTGAGTGAAATTTAATCACATCCTAATTTTAGTTAGGATATCTAATTGGGTACACTCTACTACTTTTAGGGGCTCATTACCATGGATTAGCCCTGCTAATGCTAAAGTAGATCACCCAATGACTCTCGAGATATTGGGAGATCGCTTCACAAAATTGATTTACTAAGTGATACGGTAGGTTCCTGCGGGAGGACCATCCCGTGTGATGAGCATATCGGAATTTGTGGAATGAGGGCTGGAAATGTGGACCCGGGTGCCTAACTCACGAGTGCCAATAATGGAACCTGAAGGGGGCCTATGAATACCAAAATTCAAAGTAGCCCAAAGTCCAAACATAGGGAGATTTTCTTCTTCTTTTTTTAAAATTTTTGCTTTTGCAGGAATCCATGACTAGGACCAGAGGACCCAAAAATACAGGGTAAGTCCACTGACCTACCTACTCTGTCTCGCACTTTCACTTATGAGTCTGATCTCCATCTCTCAGAGTCTCTTCCCTTGGCATTCCATGCCTCGCACACCGGTGAATTTTGAATCTCTTGAGGCCTTTCGAAGGCGATCGGACATGGAGTTAGACCTTCGAGCCCGATCCGCCCCGGAAAGCAATCGGTTCGAGAAGTTACAGCAGAGCCATCAATCCCCTGTTGATACGTATACATTGTATTTTGGAGGGTTGGGCGAGAGAGATGAGCGAGACCTTTTCGTAGCTCCGGTCTCTCGGCGAGAAAGAGATAGAAAAAGACTTGACCTTGAACTGGTTTTCCGATAAACACAGGCGGTGAATTCGAGTTCCGACAGAGACTGGACCAGAGGAGGCATTGGTGGTTTTATTGATCCGATGGGATGTGGAGATTGCCGTTGCTCGGTGAATTTATTCGGGTACTTTAAGAGGGACGCCCGGAAACAGTCTTGGACATTGAACAGAGCATCTTTCGCTTTCGTGTGCGATGGTTCATCACCATGCTCTTTCGAAAGAGATTTAGCAAAGCTACAAAATCGATAGCGAACTTCTGGGACGTTTTATGGTCCCTCGAGAGACCGGTCCACCTGACTATTCCATCCCATGGATGGCTGGCAATCAGAGAGAACGCAGAGCGAAAGGGACAGGCATCCGGATCACGATTCATGACAAAGAAATGGAAAGTGGCTCCTGCATTTGGCAGAGAGATTGGCGAGACTGAACCAAAGGACCATATGGCAGTTTCAAGTTGCTTTTCCATTCATAGTTTCAGAGGAAATTGATTGCAAAAGGCCTAATTAATCAACAATATGGTTTGAGAAAAGGTATTAGGAAAATCTGTCTAGGGTAAGTAAAACAGAGCTCTGCACATAAATTGAATACCCTTCAATCGAACCCCAGTTCGAGACACCTGAAAGACAACGGCCTCCTCCATAATGCTCCAGTTCTTGTCTTCCAAGTTTTTAGGGTTTTCGGAATTCCTGAGAAAAACTCGATGTCACACGGCATGAACCGAAACCCACCCAACTGAAAAACCAACAGGTTCTGAAGAAAAAAAACCACAGAACATGGCAATTTCCTGCAAGAGGACTCAAATTGCATCTTTCAAGAACTCGGAATTCTTCTTTCTTAGCAAACCACAGAGCCTGGTATCAATCAGTATTCATCATCTGCTGACTTCAAATGTTTCAATCTACAGGAATTGAGTGAGCGAAACAAAAACTAATGTACAAGAATTACACATGTCCGAGCCAAAAAGAAAAACCTAATTCAATTCTTGGGTACACAAGTGTCCCCTTTTTACATTTGCTTCTTCACCTATATTAATCCCAAAATCCCAAAAGAGAGAAGAAAGAAGAAGAAGAAGAAGAAGGGCAAACTAGAGTTCATAGGCAAGAAAGGAGGAGTAAAACTCAAGCTAAGGAAGAACCAACTTCTGGAAACTAACCAAGGACCAAGTAAAATCCAAATGAAACAGCTTCGATTTCACACCATGTCTGATCTGACTGTAAGCTCTGGACTAGTCTCACCGCTAATCGATTTCGGATCATCAAAACCATTACCCAAAGATTAATTACATAGAAATGTAGCAGCAAGAACAAAAATTACCCTTTTGAAAGATGTTACCTATACACCCATTTAAGCCCCCTCCTCCCCCAAGAAGAAAAAAGATGAAAATTGAAAGAGACCTCCATTAACGCCACGAAGAGACAGTAAGCAAAGGCAGCTCGTTCCAAGCTAGGGAGAGAAACCCAGGTGGAGAATCCACCAGCGAGTACCGCGAGCTGTACTTGTAGTTCCACAGCAGTATCTTGGCCTGGCTCACCGCGTAGTTGCTGAGCGGCACCGCCTCGAACCCGGCGGCCCGCTCCATCAGGACCCTCCATTGCTCCTTGTCCTCCATCCGCTCCCTCTCCATCCCCGGCCCCTCCGGCCCGACCGACCGCGCGATCCTCCCCCCCAGCAGCAGCCTCTCGACCTCCTGCCGCTCCGGGGAGTCGCGGCCCATCGGCTCGAGCGACTCGAACACCGCGGCATAGTAGGCCAGCGCGTTCTTGAACCGGGCAGGGTACGCGGCCCGGTTCAGCGACGCGTCGTACTCACCCAGCGTGACGATCTTCGGGCCCAGCGACTTCGCCAGCCGGAGCGCCCCGTCGACCGCGGCGGAGGTCTCGCCCAGGAGGTTGTACAACTGGAGCATGAAATTGACGGCCAGGTCCTCGTCCGGGTCGACCCGGAAGCTGGAGGCGTCCAGGGAATCGTTAGGAGCTAGAATCGGGTCGAACTCGAAGTTGAGCTCGAGGAGCTTCGCGAACTCGCGGAGGCGATTGCCCGTGGCGAGGAGCGAGGGGGCCGGGTTGTCCCCGAGGGCCCGGGCGGGGATGCCGGAGATCCGGATTCGGTCGGGCTTTCCGGTGGAGCGGGTGGCGAGGGCTTGCAAGAGAGCCGCCCACTGGACTCCCTGGACTATCCCGAAGTCGACGATGTGGATCTTGCTGGCCTTCTCGGTGGCTTCCAGGATTGCTTGGTTCGCGGTCAAGTGGGCGAACTTCGAGTACGGGCAAGCGTCGTTGAGGGCCTTGTACGAGAGCGTGAACTCTTCCGGCGACGTCGACGACGCGATGGGGCTTCCTTCGAGGGAGAGCCGACTGTGGAGGGCCTCGGAGAAGTAGAACGCCACTCGCTCCGCCGCATCTCCGCGCTCGGACGCCGATTCCCTGAGCCGAGCCAGCGTCTTGGCGGCCAGCTCCGGGTCGGACTCGCTGACCCGGGCGCAGTCGAGGAGGGCCTTCAGCAGCGGCTGCGACGGCTCGGTCTCCAGCGTGGCGGAAGCAGAAGACGCCCCGACGGCGGCCGTGGCGGCGTCGCCCCCCTTGGGCTGCCTCGGCGGCGACGCCGAGACCCTCGCCGGCTTGGAGTCCTCCGCAGCCGCCGGCGGAGGAGGAGGAGGCGGCGTCTGCTCCGCAGCCCAAGTGGGGCTAACGACCCGGTTGAGGTCCGAGTTCCCGAGCCGGCTCGGGCAGGCGACGAAGGGATCGGCCGAGTAGAGCCCGAAATCCGCCGCCGCATTCTGCCACGCGTCGCAGGCGGAGGGCAGGCTGGAGCTCACCGGCGTGGAGTCCCCGCTCCCCATCAAGCTCTCCATCCACTCGTCGGAGTCGAACTCGCCGCCGCCGAACCCGCCGCCGAAGCGGAACCCGCCGCCGCCGCCGGAGGGGTGGTGGTGGTCGAGGCCGGGGAAGGGGAAGGCGGGATCCGCCCCGGAGGCGACCTGGAAGGGGTCGGGGAAGGCCGGGGGCCCGAAATTGGGGGAGCTGGCGTTGGAGGAGGCGGAGGCGGAGGCCGAGGAGGCGGCGGCGGCGGCGGCGGCGGTCCATGGGCTGAGGGAGAAGGAGTTGATGCCCAAGAGGAGGTGCTGGTGGTGGTGGTGGTGGTGGTGGGGGTGGTTCTGCTGCTGCTGCTGCTGCTGCTCCTGCTGCTGCTTCTGCTTGATGACTTGCTGGGCGATGGCCATGAGGTTACCGCTGTCGGCGCACATGTACGCCATTCCCTTACTTCGCCCGGCGGAGCGATGGCGGTTGGGGGGGGGGCGCACTCACATCACCGTGGGAGCGGAAGCAGAGGAAAGAAGAACCGACGACGGCGACGTCAGTTGCGGGGAGAGAGAGAGAAAGAGAGGGGGGGAGAGAGAGGGAGTGATGTGCAAACGGTCAGAAGCAAGATTTTAGCTTTAAGTAGAGAGAGAGAGAGAGAGTGTGTGGGTTTGGTGAGGTGAGGGAGCGGATGAAGAGAACGGGAAGGGGGGGGGAAGGAGGGACGGCGAGGCGAGCGAGCGAGCGAGAGGTCTAGAGAGAGAGAGAGAGAGAGAGAGAGAGAGAGAGAGGGGAGGGGGAGGGGAGTCCGTCCAAAGTTCGGGAACGGACCTTGGGCCCCACCCGCTGCCCCTCCTTTCTTTGACAGACGGGGTTGTTTTTCTTTTCCTTCTCTTCTTTTTTTTCTTCTTAATTTTTATTTTTATAAAAAAAAAAGGGGAAATGACGGGGGGTTTTCGAAGGAGGACTGACGATGAAAAGGAGGGTTTTTTTTCTTTATATTTGTTTTGCGCTGATCCGTAGCCGGTCGCTTATGACACAGCCTGCCTCGTCCGCCGTAACGGGAAGTTCATCCGTTTCTCTGGGGTTAAAAAAAATGATTAATACCACGAAAAATTCTAAACTGGTACACTTGTGACACATTTACCCCAAACTATTTTTTTGACCATAAAAAACCCCAAACTAGTACACCTGTGACAATTTTACCCAAACTAATTTTTAATATTATTTTTTTATTTTTTTGAATTTTTTCTTTTTTCTTTTCTTTTCTTTTCTTTTTTTTTTCTTCACTTCAACCTCTGGCCGCCCTCGCTCGACTCGGCAAGGGCGACCCTCGCCGGATCTAGCTAGGGCGGCCTCGCCCGACTGTGCGAGGGCCGCCTCGCTCGAAGCGGCGAGGGCGCCTCGCCCTTGTCTGGCGGGCGAGATGCCTCGCCCGACGCCGGCGAGGGCAACCTCGCCCGACGCAGACGAGGGTCGCTCGCTGATCCGGCGAGGGCGCCTCGCTCGATACCGCCGAGGGCAGCCTCGCCGTAGCCTGGGCGAGGATCGCCCTGCCCCGGGCGGCGAGATATGCCGCCGGACGCCTGCGAGGGCGGCTCGCCCGGGACGTAGGCGAGGGCGGCTCGCCGACGCCGGCGAGGGCGGCCTCGCCCGACGCTCGGCGAGGGCGGCCCTCGCCCGACGCCGACGAGAGCGGCCCTCGCCGGCTTCCGCCTCTGGCCCGTCGCCGGTCCAGGTTGAAGATAAAGAAAAAATAAATAAAAGGAAAAAAATAAATAAATATTCGAAAAAAATAAAATTTTAATTTTAATTCAGGGTAAAATTGTCACATATGTACCAGTTTGGGTTTTTTGTGGTAAGTTCAAGGTAAAATTTTCACAGATGTACCAGTTTGGGGTTTTTGATGGTCAAAAAAATAGTTCGGGGTAAAATTGTCACAGGTGTACCAGTTTGGGGTTTTTTATGGTCAAAAAAATAGTTTAGGGTAAATGTGTCTCAAGTGTACCAGTTTAGGGTTTTTCATGGTATTAACCCTAAAAAAAAAAAAAGAAAGGGGGGGGGGGGGGGCGAAGCTACCTACCGTTTTTACCGGATATCATTCGCGTCCCGCTAAAATTAAACAACCCCCAAGCACCTGAAATGACCAAAGTGCCCCTCCTGATCCGGCCGATTTGGCTTGAGCCGACTTCTGACTTCTTTTTTTTTTTTTTGGACAAGTGCATTGAAAATCCTACGACGAATGATGAATCGAATCCTGAAACTTTCAGAAAATTCAATCGAGTCCTAAAAATCGTCAAATTTGGCATTGTCCTTCATGTTTTAGCCACATTAACGTCACGTAGCAGAGAAAAAAAAAGTTACGTCAGCATTTTCCATTAGCCAAATTGGACGGAGTTAACGGAAGGACTTGATTGCACCAATTTGACAAGTTTTAGGATTCAACTACATTTTCGTTATAAGTTTTAGGACTCCAGTGCATTTGTCCCTTTTTTTTTTTGCGAGGTAAGAATTTAGGATTTAGAAATGGTTAATTTTTCCAAAAGAGAGTAGCGTCTTCGTAAATAGGGACACAAGAATAATCGATGTGAAGATGCAGAATGGTCAGTATAGGAAAGAAGGACGAAGAGATTTATCGAGGAAAAACGACACTACTTACTACAGAATATTGTTCACTGTTGGATGTCATTTCTAAACTTGCAATCCATTCAATTTAAGTTCCTTCAAAAAAGATATTGCACCGTGGAGATGTCTCGAGTATGAGCCTACTAGAAAAAAAAAACCAACTCAAACATAGGTGTCAACTGTCAAAGTATGACGATTTAGCACGAAGTAACCACATTAATTATGGTCGAATTTTGTAAAAATGGGGTTGCCAAACTTCTGATTAATTTAATTTAAAGTCCTAAATTCACGTACCATTCAAAAGTCTTTGAGTTTGAACTTATTTGAAAAGACCGACTCAAATACGTGTACAAAATATCAAATTACGAAGTTAGGACATGGAGGGGGCGCCGAGAGTGGAGGCTGCAAGGCCTATAGGTAGGGTTTGGCAATACTAAACACAATCCATCCGCATGACACGAACACGACACGAGATAAAACATGATAAAATTCAAATTTAATATAATATTACGCATCTAATTTATATGTTGACACAAATTGACATGTTTCCGTCGTAACCCAGTTATGTGGCACACGAGTCAAAATCAACACCTTTTAAATGACACGAGTTACAGACACGATTAGGAGATGATAACATAAATTGCAAACCCGTCTTGGAGGTAGGTGCTCAGGCTAACCAAATAGGCACCGGAGCGATGTCCAATATTCGCCGTCCTTTGGGAAAGGCTTCCATCATAGGGTTTCCGTGATAATGTCTATATTTGACTGTTTTCATCTTAATCCGTTGATATTAGATCAAACTCGCAGAGAGAATGACAAGTTCACTGTTAGAGAGGGTTTTGATGAGGTGTTTAGTCATAGTAGCAGGAGAATTGTCGATTGGGTTGTTTTGTGAGTCTAATAGACGTAATTTGAACCGAAAATACGAGAGTGATGGAGTGATTCGAGCGTATCTTGTAATATTCATTACATCGCTTGATTTTTATAGTGAAATTTTTCGCTATTGGTAGTAAAGCAGGAAGAGAAAATCCGCTTGAGTCGTACGGTGGTCCTTCGCCTTGTTATGGCATTTACTTGGTCAAGTGTTTCATGTAGTCTCGCTGGTTTTTTGCAATCTTATTTCTAAGGGCTATTTCCTTGGAAGTATGGTAGGATTAGTTCCCTCGCATTAGTCTATTGTTAGAAATGCCTGTTCTTCTGATCCGATCTCATTCAACGCTACGCGAGATGCAATAAGGTAAATGATAAGTCACACTTGACCCAAAGATATAGATATAATTTAATACGAGTGTACTTAAGGATGTAACCAAGTCGAGCCAAACTAATCCAGTGTGAAGTAGAAATGATCAGTTCTAGGGTGAGTCGATTTTAGGAGTAATCGATTTTCGGTCCGATCCAATGAAACCGATCACTTAGGGTTTAGTTCACATTTTACTAATTCATGTTAATGAAGTTCACTTAAGATTGAGTTTACAATTTATTAATTTTTTTGAAGAAAAAAAAAGTATATGTAGTTGGTCCGGTCCGATCGGTCCGGTTCTCCCTTGGAACCGAAAACCGGACCGCCTGGACACTGGTTCTACTTTTAGTAACCGGAAATCGGATCGACACTTCTGGGAACCGGACCCAATCGGAGTCTGGGCGGTTCCCAGTTTGGGTAGTCCATTTTGCACACCCCTAGTCGATTTGAACCAAGAACCGAATCAGAAGGGTCGGTTCCCGACTTGTAGAATCAGGAACTAACCCACCTGGTCCTAAAACTGGTCCGGTGTGGTTCCCGGGTAGGTCTAGGAATCGGCGGCGATATATTTCTTTTTCCTATACCTTGCATTGCAAGTGTTGTTACATAGTTTAAACTCTCGTTCTCTAGTATTATATCGGTGGAAAAACGCTAAAAATATGATTAAGTACGATCGAGTATCGTTAACTTACCAACGAAGAAAAGCATCAATCCAATCCGAACAATTCGGTTCCATATTTAGAATCGGGAACCGGACCGATAATCATCGGTTCCCAAATTATAGGAACCGATTCGAGCCAATAATGATCGCCCCCTAATTGCAGAGCTCGAACCCGACTCGACTCGCATGCTTAATGCCCGAAACTCAGAGTCAGTCCTCCGGCGCCTACTAAAATTTCGCCCGAGCTCGACCAGATGGCAATCGATTAACGAATGATTTTCAAGGTCCGGCTCGAGGTCTCGAAGTCAAAAAGATCGAAACTTTTTAATATATCAAGGCGCAAAAAGGGGAAGTTCACAAATCTAACTAGGAGCTTATGACCCCCCCCAAAAAAAAAAAGAAAGAACAGAAACTAGGAGCTGACGTGGCGCCTAGGACCCCCGTGGGCCCCAGGGAGGCTTCCCGCCGTGAAAAGACCCCTTCCTTCCTTCCTTCCGCGGGGGAGGGCGTGGCGTGGGGTGGGGCCGTAGAGGTCTACGTGGACCGACTTTACCTCCCGCACTACGCGGGGGGGGACCTCGAACGCCGCGTGGGTCCCGCCCTCGCCGGGGGAGCGAGCGGAAACCGACGCGTCAGTCGACGTCGCCGTCAATCGTGACGTCATGTCGCTGTTGCCCGTGGCCCCCGCCCACCCACGGTCAATCTGGGGGGGAAGCGGAATCGAGAGATCTCGACCGTCCGTTCCCCCGGCGGATGCCCTGCGACGTGCCCGGTAATTACTGGTTGGGGGGGGGGGGGCCCCCCTCGGGCACCGCACCCGCCCCGGTAAAAATGGGTTTTTTACTTTTTACTCTCGGATTTGACCCGCTTCTTCCTCTCTCTTTTTCTTTTTATCTCTTTGGTTTTTTTCACCCCGACGAGATGGGATTGATCTCCAATTTTGACCAGACTCAATTTCAATTTTTATCATGACCCCAAAAAAAAAATAAAAAGTTCAATTTTTATGTTCGAATGAGTGAAATTGGTAAATCGATGCGGTCCCTCTTCGTTTTTCTATTTTCATTCGACGTTTTTTGTTTTTGTAATTTTTTTTCGGATAATAATAAGTTATCCAAAGGAGTCATTATGGTACGTCTCTATTTA